AGGATGCTTCTATCTGCGCCAGCCCCACTTCCTCCCCTGTGCTATTAGCTCATTGGCCCCTTGTCCCCAAGCTGCCTGCTCCTTGGCACCCTCCCTGTCCAGCTCCTCCTGCTGTCCTGTCCTGTGTCCTGTTTTGCAGGCGCACATCTCTGCACGGCACACAAGGAGCCAGGCTGGCAGGCAACCTGTCCCTGTGTCATCATTTTCTCCTTAGCCTTCTCCTCCCTGCCTTGCCTGGCCCTGTGACAGCGGCAGGGTGGCTGTCCTCTGCTTCATTCATCCCCTCATTCATTCATTTATTAGATTTTTGAGACAGGGTCTGTGGAGCGCAGACTGACCTCGACCTAGAGGTGGTCCTCCTGCCTCAGCCTTTGGGGTGCTGGGATGTCGAGTGTGCTGCCACACCTGGCTGACCTCTGCCTCTTTTGTTCCTTCTGCATTCAGTGGTGGAACCCTTAGGCCTGCTTCCTTCACCATCAGGCTGCGTGGTCACCATGAAGTCTCCGCACCTGCTGCCCATCAGGTGCTTAGCGTGAGGCTGTCCAGCGGGCTGCACGTCCTCTGCCATCGCCGCCCTCCTGCTCCTGCAGACACTAACACTTCTCCTTCCATTCCGTGGAACCGTTTTCCGCAGCCCTGGGCCCCACACCCAGGGCCTCCTTATGCTGCGTCCCCAGCACTAAGCAGAAGCTGTTTCACTTTACTTTACAACTGTGCTCTGCTGCGCTTAACCCTGTGCTGTGGGCTTGTTTCTCCTGCTTCCCCTGGGACACCACTCTCCATGCGGCCTGCTCTCCTGTCAGGGCCAGCCTGACCCTGCAGTGAGTGTCACCTGCACGGGAGGGGGCTCGGTGTGGATGCTTGGTCCTCCTGGCTATGCTCAGTGACCAGAGAACCTGCACCTGAACCCTTAAACTCAGCTCTCCTCTGCATTTTTAAGCATGTGCAGCAAAAATTCAGCATTTCCTGGGCCACCAACCCTGAGTCCACATGGTCCACTGTTGGGCCTGGGCTCACCTAACCAACTTATACCACTGACTGGCACAACGTCCTTGCATTTTTTTTTTTTCCCCCCACTGGGGATCGAACCCAGAGCCTTTGCACTGGCTATGTCCTCAGTCCTCCTCTTATTTCAAGACAAGATCTCGCCAAGTCACTAAGCTGCCCAGGCTGGGCTCAAACTTGGCTTTCTGCTGCCTGGCCCTCCCAGTGCGCTAGGACTCCAGGTATGTACCACCACCTTGGGCTACACATTGCTTCTTTAAAGTGACATCCTCAGATGCTTGGTGGCTTTCTGGATATGCACGCCCTGAGAGCCCTGGGAGGTTTCACAGGTGTTCTTAAAAGTGAACATGAAGATACAAACCTCTTAATTTGTGATTGTTGTGGGGGTTTCTGAGCCAAGAGAATAGTGAACAACTTTGCAGATCACCTAAGGCCATCTGCAGGAAGAGGAGGAGCCTCCTGTCATTTTAGTAGAGTGCTGGCTGTCTTTTGCAGACTGGGTCTCAAGGCTGCCCCTCTCCCCTGGGGGCGGCAGTTGAGCAGCAGCAGGGCCTGGGCTTCTCCCTCCTGGGCACTGGGCCTCCAGGGCTCTCTAGGGACACAGCCCAGGTGTGTCCCGTGGTCCTGAGCCACACAGGCCGCCTCCCAGCTACATCAGCACAGCTTAAAGTGCACATGCACTTGGACCAGCGTTTCCACCCAGCCTCCAGGGTTACAAGCGTTTCATATGTATAGTCTTTGATTTATTTCTCTTTTAAGCTGAAAACCTTGGCCCACTGAATTGTTTGCTTTGCCTTACATGATACGTATCATTGTTTCAAAATAATAAGTTATTAACAAGAAGTATGCTGATTCAAGCTTCAGTGTTTTTGCTATTCTCCCTATACTTTTCCCAGTGAAGGTACCAAGTTAAAGTATATTATAACTGGAATAATTTCTCTTATGTCACAAACTTTGCCCACAATTTAACTGTTTAATTTCTAGAAATTGATTGTTCTCTTGCTAAGCTAGTTATATTCGCACAGATCATTTCACTTTTTTTTTTTTTTTTTTTGGCAGTACCCCGGGCCTGTGCACTGAGCTACACGCCCCAGCCCCTTTTTTATTCTTGTTTTAAGACAGTCTTCTTAAGTTGCTAAATTGCCCAAGGGAGGCTCCAGTTTGCAATCACCCTGCCTCAGCCTCCCAGACTGCTGGAATAGGTGTGGGTCACCACCACACCCGGCTTTGACATTTCTGTGGTCTGAACTGTAAAATGAGCCAGGGATTTAGCTCAGTGGTGCCACCTGCCTTGCAAGCACAAGGTCCTGAGTTTGATCCCACATACCAAAAAAAAAAAAAACAAAAACCTGTCCCAGAACTGTGAAATGAGGCATACTTGTCCCCGAGGCATAGGGTACCAGGACTGCAGCATGGGTCCCAGTGGTGGCCCTGCTGGGCTCATCTGCAGATCCCCTGAGGGGAAGGGGCTGCCCACCTCTTAACACTGATCACGGATGTCAGAGGAAAAAGCCTGCTGCACCTCTGTGTCGTGTGGAGTTTTCCAGGGAATCTCAGAAACGCGGCTCTAGAAGCAGGGTTGCTAGTCCTAGGGCCAGTGCTTACCTGGCTGTGGGTGCTTCCTCCGTCAGGACACACTGCACCTCCACACTTCAGGTGATGTGCCCACCCCGCAGACAACAGAATCTGGTGTCAAATTTGGACTGGGGCCAAGCTAAGAGGCAGGAAACAGGGTCTTGGGGTGCTTTTGGGTTGCATTTCCCTTATATTCTTTTTCTTCTTGATTTTCGGAGCTCATGCGCTCTTTTGAATTAGGAATATTAATCCTAATATCCTTCATCTTAAATTGCAATTTTTTTATTAGGGCAAAATGCTAATACCATAAAATTCAATTTTTTTTGAGACAGGGTCTCACTCTGTAATTCAAGCTGACCTTGAACTCACTGGGCAGTCCAGGCTGGCCTCAAACTAGAGCCAGTTCTCCTGTTTTGGCCTCCCTGGGATTACAAGCGTGCTCCACCACGCCCAGTTCAAAATCCAACATTTCAACTGTCTTAGAGCACACGCTCAGTAGCATTCTGTAGTTATAAGGTGGTACAGTCATCACTTCTGTGTGAAACCCCTACCCATGGAACCCTGTTCCACTGCGCTGCCCCAGCCCAAAAGCCACTACTGTGCTTTGTTTCCTTACCAGTGCTTTTGACAGTGTTAAATATTTCCATTTTTCCACTATGTATTTTGTCTTTATTGTTCCTGGATGTAAACGCATGTAGGAAGATTTGATTACAACCCTGATTACAAAGGAAGTCCTCTATTTTCTCTAGTATTGTTCATTTCTGCCTCTCTCTTGCTCCACATGGCATTGTCCTAGCATGGAGGATGCAGTGCAGATCCGTCCTGTCTGTCACCATGGCTGGCAGTTGCCTCGAGTTTACGAGAAGTCCCGCTCCTCTCAGTGGAGGCACTGCGGTGACCCCAGGCTGGGCGCCATCTCAGGGGCCCCGGGGCCTTCGGTGCCGCTTCCTTGTGCTTTGGTGCCAGTGGGGCCAGTGGAGGCAGGTAGGACTGGGCTCTGCCCCACTCTTCACTTTGGGGGTTTTCCTGGCTATTTTTGCTTCTCTCATGAACTTTATAATCAGCTTGTTTAGATTTGGGGAAAAAATGTCCTGGTACTTTTATAAGGATGATAGCCACTTCATGACTATGTGATGGTTTTTTATGAGCATTTCTCCACCCAGGAACAATTTTTCTCTCTTCACATCTCTTCACATCTATTCTGGTGTCTTTAAGGTATTTTTAGGATTTTCCTTCTGTCCTCTTGCTATTGAAACAGCCGTCTCTGCCACCATGTCCTCTAACTTGTGTGCACACCCAGCCACTGGCCTCTGAGCTGCTTTAAACCCTGCTGTTCTCTGGGTCCCCTGTGCCCAAACATTGCTTTCTTGTGCTAGAAATGCCCCAAAGCCTCTGCTCTGGGAGGCCAGGAGGGTGGAGGGCAGCCTGGGCAGGGGGCTCCAAGACCCCGTCTGGTGGTTGGCAGAGCTGGTGCCCCCCAGCCAAGTCCACGCAACCCCTACAGGCCTCGGGTCCCCTCAGGCATGGGAGGAGCAGCCAGTGCTCTGGGGTGGGGGCGAGGGGGACAGGCACAGCAGGACCTGGGGGAAAGGGGCCTCAAGAGTGGCTCAGAGGGGCCGGGGGCCTCATGCACAAAAGCCTCGGCCTCTGGGACTCTGCCTCAAAGGAGACTGAATAGGGTAGAAGGCTCAGCAGTTGTCTGGCTCAACCCTTGAACAGAAGGGTAAACTGAGGCTGGAGGCTGTGTTTCAGCCTCCTGGCACCTGGGCTGGAGTGGGGTGGACCTTGGGTGTCTGCACCTGCAAGCAGGTAGCTCCCACCCTGCAGCAAGGCTGCATGGAGGAGACAACACAGGCTGTGGACAGATGAGAAGACCAGGGCAGATGGGGCCACCAGAGCAGGGCTCTGGGCTCAATATCTGGGCTTCCCCGAGTCTTCAACGGACCTTCACTTCAGCTGGGTCACCAGTGAGGCTGGGAGCTCCGTGTGCACTCAGGTCACTAGGACAGGGCCCTGGGTCTGGAGTGCAGGGGCTCAACCCACACCTGAAGGAGACAGGGCCATAAGCTATTTATGGGGTGCCCAAGCTGGGAAAGAAAGTCCCTGAGCTCATATTTTCTTTTCCAGCCTATCTAGCACCAATTTGGCCCAACAGCAACCCCACAGTCTCTTTAGTCTGACTCGAATCACCCAAGCCCTGCCTCCCTTGAGGAACTGATCAGAAGCTCCAGGGAATGACATCCTACACATCTCTAGTGCCCTTGCACCCTAGGCATCCTCGCTCGCTCTTTCCAAGGTGGGAAACAAGTGTCATTGCCTTTAGATGTAACCAGACAGAGCACCAGTCCCAAGAGCCCCTCCTGTGTTTTCCAGCAGCTCCTCACCGCTCACAGCATGGAGGAGACGCCTGGACACGAGACTGACATGAGAACGACAGTCAAGTTTATTCCCAGCATCCCTCCAGGGGCCTGAGCATCACTGACCCGGGCTGCGCACAGCCTGGCGGGGGACGGGGCACCTGCAGGGGCACGGGGCTGGAGGAAGGGCAGTGGTCACTGCACCTCTGGCCACAGGCCCTCCTCAGCGTACGTCGCTTGGGCTCAACAGGCTGGCGGGGGCTGCAGACCAGGCCTCACATGGGCCCTGCTCAAGGCATTTCAGACATCAAGGAGAGGCTGGGGACAGTCAGACTTCTGGCGACCGTAAGGGGCCAGGCTCCCCAGCGTCTGAGTGCTCAAGGTCCTGAGGGCAGCACAAGGGACCGATGGGTCACACTCGCCCTCCGGGGCACAGAGCCTCTGGGCTCAGCTCCTGCAGACCATCCTCATCCATGGCATCTTGTGCTGGGCCATCAGGTATGCTGGATGCAGCCCCACACCGGGACCCTGTCACGCCGGATGCACTGTCCACAGTGGGCCACAAGGAAGCCTCAGACCGGAGTGTGGGGCTCCTGCCTGTGAGGACCGAGGCCAACTCATGTCCTGCTGTGGCCCTTTCTCAGGCAGGGCCCAGGGCTGCCCCCGGCTCTCGGGCAGAGGCTCTGAAAGGAGGGCAGGGACTGCAGCGGCACAGGACTCAGGAGGGGCCCAGGGCTGCCCCCAGCTCTCGGGCAGAGGCTCTGAAAGGAGGGCAGGGGCTGCAGCGGCACAGGACTCAGGAGGGGCCCAGGGCTGCCCCCAGCTCTCGGGCAGAGGCTCTGAAAGGAGGGCAGGGGCTGCAGCAGCACAGGACTCAGGAGGGGCACAGGCTGTCCAGGTGCTGCAGGACTCCCAGGTCGGGCGCAGGGTGCCAGGCAGGCGCTCATCTCTCTGGCAAAAGCACGAAGAAGGCAGCCTTCAGGAAGTGCCCGAAGCTGCACAGCGCAGCCACAAGCCAGTGGGAGCAGAGGCCAGGGTCGGTGCTGACCACGCACTTGAGGACATCGGTCTGCAGGGAGGAGGGGACAATCAGAGAGCAAGTCCAGGCCCCGGGCCCCATCATCCTGCACCAGAGGGGGCTGCAAGGCTACTGAGGGAAGGAGAGGAGCCGAGCACATGGCCAGGGCCCTGTGGATGTCCCCCAGCCAGGGCCACCTCTCGGCAGGTAGCCCACAGGTGCAGGGAGCCCAGCATCCCTGCGGGGGCCCTTGGAACCTACACTGTTAGGAAAGGACCAATCTGGCTTCAGACTCCTGCGAGGGTGCTGACCCTGCCGAGAAGTGACCCGGTTTCCCCCAGAACACACACAGCACCCCACCTGGCAAGCCCAGCCCCAGAGGGGAAGCCAGGTGCAGAGGATGCGGCAGAGTCTCCAAGCCTGACTGGCCAGGGGCCCGGGCATGGAGGGGCTCCATGCACAGGCCTCGGTGCTTTCTCCCTGGCGTGGGACCCAGGGCAGCCAGGGTGACAGGACAAAGACCCCTGTGGGGTAGCCACGGTCCCCGAGGTGAGGGCAAAGACCAGCTGGGGCTGCAGTCTTCCCTGCAGACTGCCTGGGGCAGGGAGGAGACGCAGGGGCCACTGTCCCTCCCCTCCTCCCCGAGAGCCTGAGGGCCCGAGTGCTGCCTCTCCCGGGCCACCTCTGCTGGCCACTCCTGCCAGCTGCCTCCTGGGGCTCACCAGTCTTGGCCTCACGGTGGGGTAGGAGCCAGCCCAGGGCCACCCGCAGGTCCTGAGTTGTCTTGGCCCCAAGGCCCCTACCCGCCAGCCCCACCTCCACGAAGCGCAGTGCTCACCCATCCACCGCGCCGCCGCAGCCAGGTGGCCAGGGTCTTGCGTACAAACTCCCCCAGGCAGTCGACTAGGGCGTGAACCATGGCAGGCTGGGCCTGCCGCACACAGTCCACAGCCAGACCCGCGGCCACTGCATACAGGGACACCACCTTGCCCCATGTGATGCCTGCAGAGAGAGGGCTGCAGGTCAGAGGAGGTGCCCACAGCGGACCCAAGGGAGCCCGGCCACCATCTCCACAGTAAGTCCTGCCAGGCTCAGGGCGGTCCTCAGGCAGATGGACATCCCAGCCTCCACTGCACATTGCTCAAGACTCATTGCCCGGGGATTTAGCTCAGTGGTTCCGCCGCCTGCCTCCCAAGCACAAGGTCCCGAGTTCGATCCCCAGTACCAAAAAAAAAAAGACTTGTCAGCCCAGTCTGTTGGAGGAGGCCACAGGGACCAAGAGAATAGCAGCACCCTGGTGGTGTCCACTGTGGCCTGTTCCTCTCAACAGCACTGCTGGACAGCAGGGCAGGGCCCACCTTCCACGTGTGATAAAGGAGGACCCGGGTCCCAACCACAGACCTCCTGAGACAGGAATGGGATAGGGCTGCCTGAAAGGAAAAGACACAAACAATGGGGAAAGAACATGCTCAGGTCATGTGACAGGATGAATCCTTGTGCTGACACTGATAATCCATGAGAAGGCAACTTTTCAAACTACGAGCACAGAGCAGGGACAGGTAATTCACAACAATAGGGTGCAAATAGCATTGGACATATGAAGAAATTAACCCCACTAATAATCAAAGAAAGGTAAATTAAAAGAGATGTAGATCATGACCAATCCCATTAAAGCTGTGCAAAGCCACGAGGACAAGGTGCCAGCAGTCTCCACTCTGCCGGAAGGACGCTGGAGATGTCTGCAGAGCCCGAGGTCACAGCGCCTGCCCCTGGTGGACCGAACCCTAGGGAGCAGTGTGTGCCAAGTCTACACAGCACCCTCAACCCACTTGCCCTGTGCCGGGGCGACCTCTGCAGCACAGCGGGGACCGCCGCCACCCACGGGCGACAGGGGCACCAGAGGCATCCTCAGCCATCAGGGAACAAGGTTTCATGCCTGCCACACGCTGAGCCTAAAGAAGTGGGAAGTGCAGGCTGCAGGTGCCCTGAGCCAATGCACACGGGAGGTCAGGACAGCACGGGACAGGCAGGCAGAGGGGCAGCAGCCGGGGCTGGGGGTGGGACCACAAGTGGGCACCAGGTTCTGGGCAAGGAAAACTCCCGAGAGTCACAGGTGGGGATGCCTGATGCAGAATACTCCAAACGGCACTGACCTGTGCCCTCTGGAATGGTCCGCCGTGTGACATGAGTTTCACCTCCGTGAAATCAGACCACATCACTCCTGGGCCTGAACTCTGCTGATGTTATGTCCCATTTCTTCCTAAATAAATCCAAAGCTGACATCCCAGCTGGGTGGCCCCATCCCAGGCGACCTCAGGCACCACCCTGGTCCTCTGCCTGCCACTCCTGCCCAGGGCTCTGCCCCAGGTCAGCAGACCCTGCCGCCAGTTCCCACAGGTACCCAGGCAACTCTGCTCCTGCCTGTGCCCAGGGCACCGGGTGGAGGGGGGACAGTGACGGGACCTTAGGGCCTGCTGCCAGGAATGTGCACCGCAGCATCTGCCATCTGTGTGGCTGGCAGAGGAGCACTCTGTCCTGTGAGAGAACAGTGCACCTGTGGGCTGCAGCACCTGGAGCCCACAGGGCCCAGCAGGGCCACGCATAGGGACACTGTCTGGGGCAGGTCTGGGGCACTCCCGCTTTCCCTTTGCTCTTGTATTTTCTTTCTTTTTCACTGAGACATAATTTCATCACCGTAAAATTTATCTTTCAAAAGTGAGATGTTACAGGATGAGGCAGGAGGATCGCTGTGAGTTCAAGGCCAGCCTGAGCTACAGAGAGAAACTGTCTCAAAAAAACAAAACAAAACAAAACAAAAAGCAGGATGTTGCATGTGGCATCTTCACAGGTGCACAACGACCCAATCCCAGAACATCTTCCTCACCCCCATGGAGGCCCCAGAGCCATCAACAGTCACTCCCTGTGTCTTCTTCGTCCCCACTTCCTCTCTACAGATCCGCCTGCTCCGGACACTTCCCAGGAGTGGAACCACACAATCTGCTCTGTTCTGCATCAGACACACATCACTCCACACCCTGCTGCCAGGGTCCCACACAGCACACCTCAGCACTTCATTGCTTTTCATGGCTGAACAATATTCCATGTCCTTTTGTCAACTGGCAGACATGTGGGTTCTTTCCTGTGTGTGTGGTACTTGGGATGGAACCAGGGCTTCAAACTGAGCCACATCTATTTACTTGTTCATTTTTCAAATAGGGCCTCACTAAGTCGCTGAGCTGCCTGGTCTGGGCTTGACCGTGCCACCCTCCTGCCTCAAAACTTCCAGTGCTGGGTGACAGCCATGGGCTACCACACCCAGCTCATTTCTACCTTCTAGCTCTGATGAGTAATGCACTATGAACATTTCTGTGCAAGTCTCTGTGTGGCATGTTTTGTTTCTCTTGGGCAAATGTTGAGGAGTAAGCTGCATACAATCTGGTGACTCCATTTGAGCATCTGAGGAGCTGCCAGCCTGGTTCCCAGAGTGGCCACACCATCCCCAGCAGCAGATGAGGGCCCTGCCTTCATGCCAGGAGGGGCCCGGGCTGACTGCGGGGCTGGCTGTGCTCGGAGGTCTGCAGCATCCTGGACCAGCGCTTCCCTAATGACTGGTGACACTGAGCATCTTCCAGGTGCTACTGGCTTATCGTTTTGTTTCAGAGTTTTGTTTGTGCTTTGCTGAGGGGCAGCACTGTGACCTCATTTGCCCTGGTACCCCACTGCTCTGCTCCCTACTCCGGCGGCCCCCGGGCTCAGAGAGGTTAAGAAACCACCGAAGCTCAAGCAACCTGTGAGCAAAGCAGGCCACACCTCGCCCTGGATCCGAAGAGTCCTCTCGGGCCCGGGCCACATGGGGTTATGGACACTGTGGTGGGCGGCGGCAGCTGCTGACCTCCGAGGGCAAACACAGGCTACAGCTGAGCTCCCCCAGCCCAGAGCAGGCACCTCCCCCATCTCGGCCCTCAGCACTGTGGCCCCCGCCCACCAATTCGTCCTCCCCCAGGAACCTTCTGGGGGCCCCTCAATGCCCCCCAGCCCTGCCCCTCCGGGTGCCAAGCTGAGATCTCAGAAATGAACATTCCTGCCTTTTAAATCCAGTCCAAGGCTCGTAAAGAGGACCAGTGGTCCAAAGACAGACACCCAGGCGCCTACCACTCTGGGTTCCTTCCTGAGCCCACCCAGGGCCACCATCACAGGACCCTCGTCACCCTGCTACTCCCTCTCCTGCCCGTGTTCCCACGGTGCAGGGGCTGCACCAGCCAACCCCGTCTGTCCGGGGAGGCACCTCAAGGAGCCTCTCTCAGGCCATACCCACCTCAGGCTGCCGCAAGGCTCCAGAGCCAACGTGAGCCCAACGTGGGGGTGGCAGACTGATCTGCAGATTGTGAAGGCAGCGGGCTCTGAGTATCCCCAGGAGCACTGGGCAAGGAGTCCAGCCACCACCACTGGCCCAGCCACCTCAGCCCACACCAGCCTGTGGCACCTGCTGCCCCTCAGGGAGGGCTCCAGTGTGTGCTGCAGAAACAAGGTGAACCGGGGCACAGGACCGACCCCGCTGGACCCCTGCCAGGACCCAGCCTGGGGAGCCTTCCTGCCCCACAGCCCCTGCGCCTCCCTTCACTCCGGCGCAGCCACGGTGGCCCCTGTCCAGGGAAGCCGGCAGTGATCCAGCGGTGGCTCTGGAGGCCGGATTCTGCGTGCCCCCACCACACCAGCCACTAAGCAGGAAGGCATAGCCCAGTCCGGCCCACCCTGCCCCCTAGGGCTGCCAGAAGAGGACACCCGGCTCAGCGCAGGTCACCCCTCGAGGGTGGGCTGTGGGGTGGGGCCTGCTCTCCGCTCTCCTCCTTGAGGCCAGAGGTCACCAGGCCACCTGAAGGTCATCTTCACAGGTTGGGGACTGTGGCTTCCCCTGGCACCTCCAGCTTCTGCCTGGTCCACACACTGGGTGGCCCCCTGAGCTCCCTGGGGTGCACACGCCTGCAGCCTACCTGCTGAGAAGATGTGGCCTGCCACAGCCAGGAAGGCGTCGGTCACCACGGGCTCGGACTGCAGGGAGATGTGCAGCTGGCGGGCCACGTTGCGGTACACGCTGGGCCGGATCTGCTCCAGCTCGTCCCCTAGCAGGTACACCGGTGGATCAGAGGCAGCTCACGGGCAGCCCGGCCAGGTGGGCTGGGGACCCATGACCTCCAGCCTGACCCCCACCTGACTGCACCCAGCCCCAACTGCTCTACCCTCATTCTCACCCCGCCTGACCCCACCTGACTGCTTGCTACCCCCCAATCTCAGGCTCCAGGAATAAAGAGACCCAGGAGGGGCTGGGCCCTGAGCAACAGCCCCCAGGACTGAGCTGGCTGGGCCGGTGGGGCGAGAACCCGTCGCAGGAGCATGGGCCGTGACTGCTAGTGACTCAGGTGGGCAGCAAGCAGATGGGAAGGCAGCTGAGCTGCTAGGGCGGGCGGCAGGAGGGACAGGCAAGCAGCCAAGGCCCAGTGCGGGGAGAGGAGGGCATCAGAGCCCACACAGGTAGGCAGAGCGGCCCCCCAACACTTCGAAGGGGCTCTTGGCCGGGTCCAGTGGGTGAGCCTGCTCAGAGAGGCCGAGCCCAGCACGGGCTGCGGTGCTGCACACCCTCTAGCCTGGGCTCTCGGACCTGCGTGCCACACCCTCCGCTGTGGAGCTGGGGCGCCCTTGGCCCAGGGTACAACCACTGCTGAGACAGGGCCGGGAATTCCACACAGCCCCGGGCTTGGGTGTCCCCAGCCCAGCCACTTCACCAGCCAAAGCAAACAGGGAAATTCGGCCGACCAGACCGTGCAGTGATAAAGACCAGCTGCACCCCATCTAAGTAATTAAGCTCTGGAGAAGGAGCAGAACCCAGAGGCCAGCCAGGGGCGGGGGTGGCATGGAAATTCCCAAGGCTGGGCTGGCTGCCCCCGGTGCAGACCTGGGGCCCTCCAGAGACTTGCCCCAGGCCACAGCTGCAGGGCCTGACCAGACTACTCTCCGCTGTTGAGGGTGTGGGCCCCGCCGTAGGGCATGCAGTCCCGTTGGGCAGCAGAACAAACCAAGTGCCTCCCGGCGATCCCCTCAGCTATCAGGATGTGCTTACCTGAGGGTGGGGAAATCCTGAGGTGCCGCCTTCTGAGAAGACAGAGCGGACAGCCTGGCCAAACGGCAGCTCGGCCCGACACAGTGGGCAGTGGCCCTTGAGGAGTCTCACTCAACAGACTGGGCACTCCCAGACCGGCCAATCCCCAGGCAGACTCACTCCTCTGCAGGCCCTGCTGGCCCCCAAGACACTGTTCCCCACCCTCCTGGCCAGGCAGGGTCTACATAGCCCTGCTCCCAGGGACCAGCACAGCACACAGATGCAGGGTCCACTCCAGAGTGAAAGCACACAGTGTTGGCCCAAGAAGAGGCCACCCCCGGACCCGCCATCAGGGCTCTTCTCTGCTGTCACCCCCTTCCCAGGCACCGCCCGGCCTGCATGGGGGTGGCTGAGGGTCGTCTGTCCGACCCTCCTCTGATGGTCCAGACCTTGGGGAAGATACAGAGTCTGAGGCCTGCGATCCCAGAGACAAGTGTCCTCGTCTCCCCGGGAAGCTGGGGAGGGGAAATGCAGGGGAAAGAGCAGCTTGGGATTTCAGCCAGCGACTCTAAGTCCTATTTTCCAAAACAAACACGGGACACGTGGTCCCACGAAGGATCTCTGCGCCCCGCTGAGTCCAAGGGTCACTCTGAGGCTCAGCCACTAAACCGGGCGAGCTTCAGTTTTCGGCTGGTGAGGCCAGGGTGCCCGGGCTGGGCGATCAGGCACAGGGGCGCGCGGGGCAGACGGGGCCGGGAGGACGCACTCACCCAGGCGCAGCAGCACAGCGCACACCTCCGCCAGGCGGCCCCCGGGCACCGCGGCGCGCTCAGGCGCGCTCCAGGCCAGGCCGGCGCGCAGGAGCCGCGCGTGCACGAACTCCCGGCCCAGCGCCTTGGCCTGGGCCACCAGCTCCTTATCGGTGGGCGAGCGGTCAAAGGCGTCCAAGATCTCGGCGGCGAGGACCGAGGAGCGGCGCAGGACCTCCATGGCGAGCACGCGGGCGGGGGGCGCGGCACCTGCGGCGACACCAGTCGAGGGACCGGGATCAGGACCCGGCCCGCCCCCGCCCGCCCCCGCCCGCCTTACCCCTGCTTCCGATCGCGTGCACTGGTTGCCAGGGCGCACAGGGACCCGCTGGGCGGGGCCAGGCCGGGGACCCCGCGACGCCGGACCCGCATCTCCCAAAGCCCCGATCACACCCTCAGGTTCCTGGGCTCCAGCGCCATGGGGACGGCAACCCGCTCCGGGACCTGAGTCCTTCCCGCCTGCGCCCCGCGCGCAGCTCACCTCTCCCAACGCATGGCCGGGGTGCGCGGTCCGGCCTGGGCTCCGCGCTCCCTACCCCGCCCCGGGCCCAGTCCACGCCCAGCCGGGGTCCGCGGCTTCCCGGGCTCGCAGGCTCTGGTTCCGCGGGCGTGCGGGGCGCGCGGCGAGGTCCCGCCGGCTGGGGCGAGGCCGGGGCTTCGCCTTCTAAGGAGACGGCAGCCCCGGGGCGGAGCGTGGAGCGGCCTGAGCCGCCCCGCCTCGGCTTAAGGAGGCCCGATTCAGTTCCCTGGACGCGGGAGGAGGAGGCGGGCGGCGCGGGCCAGGAAGGGGGTCCAGACGGGCCTCACAGCAACCGCCCGTTCACCCTGGCTCCGAGTTAAAGCTGGACTAATTACCTGTCTTTTTACTGACTCGCAGACTACAGATTCTGATTAGTGCGTTTTGTCTGGCATGAGCATTTGTGTTCTAGGTGGATACCTCCATTTGTACTGTGCGGGAGATTTTGCAGATATCTTCTCCCGTGCTGTGGTTTGCTTTTGCTTTTAATGAACAGGAGGTTTTGGGGTTTGGGGGTTTGTTTGTACATGGTCCATCTTTTCTTGCTCAGGCTGGTCTTGAACTTTCGAAATCAAGTGATCTCCCACCTCAGCCTCCTGAGTGCTGGGATCCAGGCACCACTGAACCCGGCCAAAGTAATGAAGTCAGATTTACCCATTTTTTCTTTCATGATTGGTGGTTTTTCATTAGGGTATTCTCCTAATGGTTTCGCTAGGATATTCTTTTAGGAGCTTGTTTTAGGGCTCACATTTAGATTTATGAGGGGTCACTTAGTGATATCCTTGTGAATGGTGTGGTACAGATCGGAGCCCCCCCCCCCCAATATGAGTCTCCAAGTAATCCAGCTTCGTTTGGTTTTTGGTTTTGTTTTTTGTGGGGGGGGGGGGGTTGGTACCGAGGATCGAAGTCGGGACCAGCAGAACCACTGCGCTAAATCCCCGGCCCTCCGCATCGTTTTTGAAAGCTTCCTACCAAGGTCTGTTTCTGGACTCTGTTCTAATCCACGGGTCTATTTATGTTGGAGCCAACCTCACACATTTTCAGCAACAGGATTAACCAGCTTGACCTAATTCACACCTACAACCCTTCCCTGGAAGCTGTAGGATGCATATGCTCTTCCTGTGCACATGGGATGTTTATCAAAATAGCCCGAAGCCTGGCTCTAGACAACTGTCAGCAGATTTCAGAGGACTGATGTCATACAGCATGTCTTCTCTGAATTAAATTAAAACTCAATTATAGGGAAAACAACTAGAAAGTCTCTTAACTGATTAGAAAGGAACTATACTTACAAATAACAAGGGTCAAATAAAATACTGTATTGTCAAGTGTAAAAATATAATGAAATCTGCCAGGCATGGTGGCGCACACCTGTAATCCCAGCACTCAGGAGGCTTAGGCAGGAAAATTGCCATAAGTTTGAGGCCAGCTTGGGCTACATAGTGAGTTCAAGACCAGCCTGAACTAGTGAGACCCTGTCTCAAAAAATAAAAAAGAATACAAAAGAAACCAAAAAGAAAAAATCTGTGAGTTGCATCTAAAGCAGTAGGTAGAGGAAACTTTATAGCTTTAGAAGAAAGGTTGAAAACTAATGTTCCAGGCTTTGTCTCAAAAAGCTAGAAAAAGAATAAGAACCCCCAAGATAAAACGAAATAAACTGTAAGGGAAGAAATTGATGAAACAAAACAAAATCAAATAAACAATCAACAAGACACCAGAGAAAATCAACAGAGCCAAAAGGTTTTTTTAAAAGAGATTAATAGGATTAATAAACCGCTTGAAAGAGGAAGAAAAGAGTAAATACAATTTCTACTCTAAGGAATGAAAAAAAGCACATTGTTAGATATACTGCAAGTATTAAAAAGGTAGTAAGAAAATACCATGAACAGCTTTTTGGTGGCCCATTTTACTTATTTTTTATCAATCTTATTGGTGCACTTTAAGTACACATAACGACCACATTCATCGTAGGTAATCTGTACCTGAACATAATATGGCCGATTCTTTTTTTTTTTTTTATGTCCGATTCTTCTCTTTCCTCAATTCTTCCCCTCCCTTCAACCCCCCTTCTCCTCATTTACAAAAGCTTTGTTTCCATTTTTCCTTCTATTCTCTTTTTTTCCTTTTCCCTTCCTTCCATTTCTCCTTCCCCCTCCCTTAGTTCCCTTCCCATTTGAACATTTTCTTCCTATTTCCCAGTATCTATTACACATTTTGGTCCTTATTTATACTTTCGGTTTCTCACAGCAGAGAAACAATGCAATATTTAAACATGTGTATCTGATTTATTTCACTTAAGACTATGATCTCAAGGTGAATCTATTTACCTAGAAATGTCTCAAGTTTATCCTTCCTTATGGCAGAGTAGTACTCCATTGTATAAAAAAAACACCCACATTCATCAGTTGTTGGGCATTTGGGCTGTTTCCAAGAGTTAGCTATTATAGACATAGGTATGCATATATCCCTGGGAATGATGCTTTTAATTCTTTCAGGAAGGTACCAAGAAGGGGAATGGCTGGCCCAAATGGAACTTGGTTTTAGTTTTCTAAGGAATCTCTACCCTGATTTCCACAGTGGTTGCCCCAGTCTGCACTCCCACCAACAATGGAGAAGGGTTCCTTTCTCCCCACACCCCTGCCAGCATTTGTGATTGGTTGATTTCTTGATAGCGGCCATTCTTTCTGGGGTGAGGTGGAATCTCAGTGTTGTTTTCATCTGCATCTCTCGAATGACCAGTGATGTTGAACATTTTTTCATATATTTATTTGCCATTGCTATTTCTTTATCTGAGAAGTGTCTATTTCAGATGTCCATTTTTGAATTGGGTCTTTAAATTTGGGGGATCTGATTTTTTTGAGTTCTTTATATATTCTAGATAGTAGTCCTTTGTATGATAGTCCATTTTAAATATTAGATGAAACACACTTTACCAAAACTGACACTAGAAGACAGAGAAGAGCTGGATAGTCCTGTACCAATTCTATAAACTTAATTCATAACTTAAGATCTTTCCACAATGAGAATTTTAGTTGCAGATAGTTTCGTTGAGAAATTCCTTTAAGAGCTGAAGGACTATCACCAATCTTACAGAAAGCTGTCCGGAGAACAATGATGAAGAACTCCTTCCCCATCAGTTCGTGAGAATAGCAGGCCAAGAGGCGAGATGGTGAGGGGCATCTGTCCCCATGGCTTCCCCGTGAGTAGAACGGAGAATAACAATGCCACTCTCTTGCTGCTGGAAGACTGAGTTGGGTATGTCGTGTGGAAAAGCTGCCTGTCCTGCTGTGCTCAGTGACAGCTACGTCTGCAGAAGCCGTGGAGCTGTAGTTGTGGGGGTGTTGGGAGGAGCTGTAACAGTGCGGAGACTGAGGACAGAGAGCCTTGGATTTCTGAAAACCACTCAGGCTTGGCCCTCACTGTACTTTATGAATAGAAGGTTAGCAGCTCAGAGAGGGAAAGCAAGACACCCAGGGAACAGCTGCAAACCAGGCACGGCCAGGTGTGGACTTGGAGCTTGACTCAGTTCCCCCTAATGTGCCTGTGTAGGGAGCAGAGCCATGGCCTGCAGGCCTGGAGCAGGAGGCTCACATGGCTTCCTCCCTGCTGTAGCCGCACCATAACAGTTCATGGCTAGGTGTCCCCACAAAGCCTCAGTGCTCACAGGTGGGGTTTGAAAGGTGATGGAATTTGGGGGTTGCTACAGCTAAATGTGCTGTTAGGAGAGGGGCCTGGCTGGACAGCCGGTCAGCCGGAGTGTGGCCTGGAAGGGTTAATCCCCTCCAGGCCCCGCTCTTCCTTCTCTGCTTCCTGTCTGCCACGATGTAGGCAGCGCTCTTCCCCCAGGTCCCTCTGCCCTGCTGTCCTGCCTCGGAGCCAGCTGACTGTGGACTGAAACTGTAAGCTAAAATACACCTCCCCCTTAAACCTGGTGGTGTTGGGTGTTGGGTCTCAGCAACGAGAAAGTGACGAAGACACCCACTCACTGCCTCTTGTTCCCCTTGTCTCTGCTTCCTGGGTGCCGCTGACAGAGGTTGGTCAGCGGGCAGTGCCAACAGACACAGCCCCTTCTATCAGGAGCTACAGGAGCCAAGGTGAAGCTGAGTTGCAGATTGTTCAACACAGAATATTGATGGCAGGAGGATCCAGAACCACCCTAAATGTTTATTAAGAGAGAATGAAACCAACCTGACCAAAAAACCTTATCCAGACCTTCAAGGCCCAGGCCAGGACCCCAGCTAGCTTGAGTCCTTCCTTTAGTGATGACGGAGATTAAAAGTGAACCTAGGGAGGGTCCAGCTTAATGCCTGGAGCAGGTGCTCCACCTCGGTCAGACTGGCCCTCTGCAGACGCTCGGCACCAGTTTTACGGGGTGCTGTGGGGGCTGGGACCAGCTGGGAGGACCGCAGCCCCGGTTTCCCGGCTCCAGAGCAGCTCTCAGGGCCTGAGCGGCACCTTGGCCTGAGCATCTCGGTCACGTGGGCTCTGCTGGAATCCAAGGTGACCCTGGGTTCAGGCCAGGGAGTCGTGTGGGTGTCGCTGAATGGCCCTGTAAGTCTCTGATCCAGGCTTCCTCCATCTTGAAGGGGATGAGAGATGGGGAAAATTTAGGAGTGTAAACCTTGTTTTGCCAACTTTTAGACAGGCTTTCCCTACCTCGAGAACATGTCTCTGTGCAGGGCTGAGAAGAATTGGAGCCAAGGTTTCCCAAAATGAAAGGCAGTCTTGGTTCTGCTGTTAGTCACCTATTGGGCATCTGTAGGCCCAGGGAAGAATCAGCTTTTAACAAAAGCACTCTTAAGTCCCTGACTGCCTCAGAAGAAAGCACAAAGCATGCTTTTAATAACCACGAGGTTACAGTCCCAGGAGTTTGTTTGTCCTCTGTCCCATGGGGTCTCTGATGTCCTCTGTCCCTGTAAGATCCCTGGGGTCCTCTCTCCCATGAGATCCCTGGGGTCCTCTGTCCCATGGGGTCCCTGAGGTCCTCTGTCCAGGTGGTTGTCTTGGTGTCAGGCAGGCAGGCATCTCCCTGGCCTTTGAGGTTGGAGGTGACTGGTCTGATCTGACTGGCTCTGTCCCCTTCCCCAGTTCCCTACCTTCGGCTTGACTTCCTGGAGCCTACTTTCCTCCACTCACCCTGGGCTTTGATTTTCTGTTCTGCAGAAGTCTTGCTCTGCACTTTTTGTTGCTGTTAGGTTGTGGGACTCTAATTCAGGGCCTGCTCATGCAGGCAAGTGGTCTGCCACTGAGCTGTACCTCTGGCCCCACAGCCACTGCTGTCCTGCCTCTGTGCCCTCTGGCCCATGGTGACCCAGATGGTACGCAGTTGCTGCTCGACGAGGAGCCTTCTGAGTGATACCAGCTCAGACTGTCTTGGGCACAGAAGAGGTCATGATTTTTGTGACCAAAATGTC